AGTCTTTTGTTTCTTTAAAGAATTACTAATTAGCATTTTCAGCAAAGTAAGAATTTTCCTTCCCTTTTCAGCCACTTACTGCGTATTTCCTGCAGACGTGATAAAAATAAAAAGTAATGAAGAAAAATAACTTCACCCAAATTTTATTTCTAATAAGTAAATTAACTAAAATTGTGTCGGTGATTTTAAGTCATTGGTTAGGTAGAGGATATTTAAAAATCAGACATGCTTTTACCGAACTTACTATAAATGTCTATGAATTACACTTAAAAAAATGCAGATTCTTGTACAAAAATTCTTCCTGTTTGAACCCCATAATTTTGAAAGTCCATTACACGTCCTTATATTTAACGAAGCCTATACGAATAAACAATTACTGATTTTAGCGACTATACTTAACTAATTCAAACAATGATGCTAATAATTAAAATATTAAAATTTAATTCCACCACCGACGATCGACTGAAGACTTAAATGGATCGTCAGAATTCGCAGGAATCCTTTTGATTTTACTCAAAATGATTCTCTAAATAGTTCATTATCCGTTTATGAAAGTCGGATGAAAATCGATGGACCTGTTTTATAAATAGGTTTAAAAAAAGTATGTCCTTACGTATTTTAACTAAGCTTTTTGTTTATTGCGCATTACAAAAACGTATTGGATAGTAATAATCATTATCATGTGATTCAAAAATATCGCTAATAAATAAGGAAATTGAGTGCAACCTCTGTGTGTAACAAAGAGACTTCTATAGTTAACTAGCTGTCCCGGCAAACGTTGTTTTGCCATATAAATTATTTGTAAGGTAGAAAAAAATGGGGTGGACTACCCTTAACGTTTAGGGGGATGAAAAATAGATTTGTCCGATTCTCCACCCGAGCCGATATGCACACAAAATTTCACAAAAATCGGTCGAGCCGTTTCGGAGGAGTTCAATTACAAACACCGTGACACGAGAATTTTATATATTAGATTATTGTTATTTACTAAAATATTCGCTTTATTACCTTTAATTTACATTTATATATTTTTACATTTATTACCTTTTTTTCTTCAAATGTATTCCAATGTAATCTTTATAATTTAATGATAACGATTAATAATAACAAGTATACTTACCAAACAGTTTCCTGTAACGAACATATTTTGGAGACAGTATTAATACGTAAATAATTGTGTCGTCAGGAAAATTTATGACGGTTGTACGTCACACAAACATTCATTTATCGGTGCTGTTAAGCTAATTTTGGCAGTTCGCGGATTCAGGGTTTCGCCACACGTTCATAGCGTATTAAGTATGTATAATGAAGGTTGGTTTAATGCCTTGTCCTTGATATAGCAGAAAACATTACGCAACAACGAGTGCTATAACAAAAAGTCTTATATAATGCAAAACCCCTAAAAGTATTGCACAAAAGTAGAGTTTAGTTGCACAGAAATCGTGTGTGGGTTTTAACGGTAAATGTCCGATAACACCGATAGGCAATCTCTTTACAATCATTTGAGTAACAGCGTACCTATGTTAAAGTTGTATCCTTGAATATCGATGAATCCGATTAGACATGTGTGTCTGTGTATGTAGATATACGGATCACTGATAAACCAATCTGAACAATAACAACTTGCGGATCTTTAATTGCATGCTATCAACATTTTTATTAAATAATTCAGTAGTGATCAGTGTTTCTCAATTTGTCTTAATGTTTACATAAGGATTAAAATAAACAAATGTAAAAAGAAAAACTTAATTGACCATGTTGAGGCGTATTATATTTCAGTCGCTGGTTTCTTTTATAGCGCATTTGCAAAACTTCATTTGTTGTAGATTCTCATGCGCAGCAGTAATCACTTAATATCGGGTGAACAGTCTGCTGGCTTGCCTTTACTTTTCAGTTAAAACGGCTCTTTTTAAAGGTAGCTGAAGCAAAAGAGATCTCTTTGATGTTAATGATACCTAGTGGCGGATATGGATTCCATTAGAAAACGCTATTCTCTTTTGCTATCAACCACTATTCCAATAAAAAAGTAAAGCCTATATAACATGTCCCACTGTTGGGCTGAGGCCTCCGTACAGAAGGTACATAGTCCACAACGCGACCCCACTGCTGATTATCGGACTTCACATATCTTAGAAATATTTTTTTTTCATTACAATAAATAAAATTAATAAGGCATTAAGGGTTGTGCTACGAATACATGCTATTTACTTGATGGTGTGGACTTGATGTTGTATACAGCTATCTATAGTTGAATCCGGTTCTATAAGCATCACTATTAACGCGTATTGATTAGTGATAACATACATTATACAATGTGCCCGTTTGTATTACTGTCTAGTAAGAGGATCTAGTTAACAATCAATCCAAAGGTTACAAGTTACTTGGGTCCTAGTCAACCCAAGGTCTAAGGTGAGTGGGGAGTAAAAAGGACATTGGGTGGACGTTCGGGATGGAAGCCCGGTGATCTTATTATGCTGCAAACAGCTAGGTATCTGAGGGAGACGCTATTCTTCTCCAGAACGTATTTACGCAAATTCCAGTGCACACCGCTCTACATGAGCACTGGTGAGTTGGCAGTCCCTGGTTGAAAGAATTATGCAACTACGAGTCTATATTTCTAACTATCTTTCTCTTATCTTTTTTACATAATATTTGTACTAAGAACAATATTTATAATGACAAAGTGTCGAACGAGTGAGTTCATCAAGTTGATTTTTTTTGACCTTCGATCCCTAAGCTCGTCGGATAAAATACAAAAGTAATATAACTTTTAATTATTTTCATCAGTATTTTGCGAAGGCCTGAATCTTCCCGGTCGAGTCGATGCATTACTGCAACAGCCAAAAAGTGACTATAAGAATATATGAAGAAGACATTCAATCAGTTTTCACCACAAGTCTTAATAGCTGAAACAAAAATATCGTCCTATTTATGTCAAAAGTATGCTATGTTATAAGGTCATTGTCATGGGGAAACTTAATTAAAACTGTTGCTATGGCTTCATGTGAAATGTACGACTCATAGCTATTTCAGTTAATATTGTTTACCTTTGTGTAGTGTTGTATCGCGCCATTCATCTATTTTTACTGCAGAATGTTCAAATTATTTCGCTAATGCTACACATTACACCTGTTGCGATAGACTGAATGGAGCAAAGCTAAAATTTTACGTTTATTACAATTGAAGTGCTGATAATTTTATTAAATGTCTCTCTCGTTTTATTATTGTTTAATAAGGTTCTTTGAATATATAATAACTAGCTTTTCGCCCGCGGCTTCGCTTGCGTTGAAACCCTTTAAAAACTATATATATTTTTTAAAGAAACAACAATTTTTTCCAAATAAAAATAGCCTATGTCCTTTCTCAGACTGTAGTATCTGTGTACCAAATTTCATTTAAATCGGTTCAGTAGTTTTGGCGTGAAAGCGAGGCAGACAGACAGAGTTACTTTTGCGTTTATAATAAATAATAAATAAATAAACATTTTAGGACACATTTTTACACAACATTCTGTAGTCCCAAACTAAGCAAAGCTTGTACTATGGGTACTAGAAAACTGATAAACTTACTTAAACATACTTTTCTTTTGTAAACAAATACATATTATACATATATGTATGGCTAGTGGCTGGGTGTTTATATAAACACCCAGCCACTAGAAAAACACTATGTTCATCACACAATATTTTTCCAGTAGTGGGGATCGAACCCACATCCTATTGGTGCAGGAGACAGGTCCACAAGTCTACTATCCAATACACCAATCGGGTCTTATGTAAGCAATTGGAATATTATATATTTCCGCATATCAGAATTACACGCGGTGACGTGATCTGAGCTCACGGCTGCTACGGCGTCGGACCGACAATGCTCAGGAAATTGTCTATCTGATACATTCGCAGGAAGTGCCCGCTTCGCCCGCGCAGAGGCGTGCATTGTCCAGCTCGGGTGCCAACCGCTCTATGTACACCGTTAGTGAACGCATTAAGGTCATATTATCGCTCACAGAAGACCGTAAAGTAGATATATTATGCTTCTGCATTTCGTCTGGTGAGTGAGGTAGCCGGGGCTCGCTTCATTAAAAGGTGGCAACGCCTTTGCAACCTTAAGGGTGTTGCAAGTGTCCATGGGCGGCGGTTATCACTTACCATAAGGTGAACCGTTAGCCCGTTTGCCATCTTATAACATAAAAAAAATATCATAAGGAGTTTATTATTAAATGTCGTCGTAGGTCGTCAATTCGTTTTAATGGTCGCCGCGAAATCGCTGGTTCACAAGATTATTCTCGACGGTTTCGGCGCGATTTTCTTTAGATATTTATTTATAATGATTAGTTGATGCCGGACTTAACCTGTCTAAAAAGGAGGATGATTCTCTGGATAGGATTGTAGGTTAATTCAGATTTCCAAAGAAGTGGAAAATTTGGCTACTAAATACATACACACACACACACACACATATATATATATATATATATATATATATATATATATATAGTTTTGATTTTATATGTAATAGGTTTACAAATACCACACACATTGAACTGAATGAAAGAGTAAGAGTACCTACTCGTATTACCCGACAGTTTCTGTGAGTCGTTATTATTTACCTTTTTTGGATCAGCGTCCGATTCAACAAAGAAATCATTCAAACATGAGCAGAATTTATCACAAATATCTTTAAAATCAAAGAGACAAGTGCACTTTCCTGACCTATGCAGTCTGAAAATATTTTAATGTTTACAATTTTTTTTGTATTTTGATATTTGTATAAAACAAATAAGTAATGGCTAAATACCTTCATTCCATTGTCTTCTTTGAATGAACGAAACGTATTTAAACGTCGACTAGACGTTCGGGAATGTTCAGACCGTGTTCCCGTCCATTCACCGCCCGTGACGCGAATGGGGGCGACAGGCTGGCGCCGCTATGCCTCCCCGGACGCCAAGCAACCTCACAACCCCCGGACAGTTGCGCGCAGTCCGCCCTTAACGCCGCACCATGCCACCGTTACACCTACTCCTCGTCTGCACTCTATTCATCAATACGGCGCCTGTGCGCGCCAAAATTAGCGGAGGGCCGCGCGGACGTTTCAGCGGAAACCACGGCAGACCTAACAACCACCACGTAAGCGCTCATCACCCCCACTATTCCTACCATCCACCGGCCCACATATACTACACCTGCAAGCACTGCTCTTCTCACATCGCCTATCCCGTGTATCACGGCGTGCCGCCCGCCTACGTGTATAAGTACAGAGAGTACGGCGGTCGTTACGGCGACTTGCTGACTGGACTGGCATTATATAACCTCGGCAGGGCAGCAAACGAACACTGGCATTACACGATGTACGAGCAACGCCCCGAAGAGAAGTGCAACATGCAGATAGTTGATCGCAACCTTTTCGAGCAGACTACCTTCCCCTGCTTCATGATGTCCTCATTTGTGGACAGCTCGGGTCGGTATATGAAGGACTCGCATCCATTGGACATTACAACGGCGCAAATAAACGTGAAGGCGTTAGTGACGAGTAACAGAACGGCCATCAAAGTTAATCAAAATCAAGAATGCGTGATTTGGCATAATTCGACGGTCAAGAACGAACGCGTGATTATACCGTGCGCCCTGCTGAAGGACTACGCTGATACTATGAAGCCCCACGGTTTGCCGGTGTACGTTTGGCTGCCTTTGACCTTGGCGTCGGTGATCGGAATCTACATTTTCTGTCAAAGCTGTTGCAAGCCGCAGAAGCAGGCGGCGATAGACGAAACTCCATGCAACCCGACCGTCACGAGCAACTACTTTTCTAATAACAACACAGTGGTAGTTCATTAGATATTTCTATTTGATGTTCTTAAGTAAGTAGGTATTGCTAAGGATACCTTTGTGTGAAAGCGTAAACGTAGGAATTAATATTTTAGTATTGTCGACAATATGGTGAGAAAATGTTAATGTATGGTGGATTGTATTGATTGTATTGCAAGCATCGTAAATGGATACCAGTTTTATAATGATAAGATTCAATACAGCTCTTGTAAATTGAAATTTTACTAAGGGTGTTAAAAGGATGTACTTCATTGTCTTTATTATACTGACTGAAAAACTTTATTAAAATATGCTGAAAATATATCAAACACTTTTGGATTTGCATAATCAATAAACGTAAAATCAAATATTAATTTAAGTAAACAGTTCACTCATATCACTCTGTGGTATACTTACCAATGTGCAATATGATTTCGTCTAAATGTAGTTAATATTCTTAGAATTAATGTATTATTAATTATGAGTAAGATTTTTAAATAATGTGTATTGATTCATAGTTAATTTTAAGTTTGTTAATGCGATACTGCGTTTGATGGTTTGTCCCTTTTCCACGAACATACGAAAGTCTTGCCACGATATATTTTGTTGCTTTGAAATATGCAGTATATGGACCGAGAAGTAAAGTTCTTTTTATCTGAAAAGATGTGATGTGTCGAGGGATAGATTTATATCGTGACTGCGTTACTTTCATGGAGTTATAACGATAATTTTAAAAGACATGAATGTAGCGGTAGCAGCGGGAGATAGCTTGTTAAATTTAGTGCTCACATGTCTGTGTGTAATAAAATTTATACATTCAATTTAAAAATTACCCTAATTTCTAGATATAGCAACATTTTTCGATTGTTAGTGTTCGATGACGTTAACAGATGATGTAGCTGTTGCTATTGAACTGAGTTATACGCACAAAAACGAATAGTATTTTTACGTATTTAGTTATGGTTAGGAAACGCCAAATTTATATAATAATTTTATATATAATATCCAATAATAAAATTTATATATAATTTCAAATGACTCAATAAAGACTGTTGTTAGGCTGATATTATAACTATATATTCAGTCCTTGGTACTGAAAACTGTTTATTGTTAGATGTTTACACATTACAGATTAAGACCAGGAACGTAATGTAACGCAATAAAATTAAAAAATAATACTGTTTTTGTTTTTACTATTATAATTAAATTAATCCATACGCTTCTTAATTCGGGATCTAGCTAGTTGAAATGATTATTCTTGCTTTATATTCTTTAAATGATCTCGATGAAACAAGCGATGGACATGATTTGTAAGAAAAAATGCTAACAAGGTGACCTCAGTAAATAATTAAGATGTCCTTAGCCTTTCTTAATGATCTCATTCTAATTAAACTAACCGCAACATAGTGGTTTCGTATAACAAGGTGAGATGTCTCTGCTGTTGTAAAATGTTGCGACTTTTATTAGTATTATTAACGTGACTTAATAAATAGTAACCAAGATCTTGTCATCATAATAAAACTTTGTTTAATGCAGAAACTTTCCACGAAGCTTCCTAATACATAAAATTATAAAGGTCTGCCGCTGTTCGCGCATCACGAAAATTTACTGAAAAATTTTCGATAAATTCTAATATCTTTTATTTCTTAAACACTTAGTCCTTATCTAAAAATATTGTGATATCTTATATGTCAAGGTAATAATGTTTTAAGAATTATCTAAATTTTATGAGAGGTGTTTAGTGATGTCTATTTTCCTGCCTTAGAGCTGTATGTATGCCGGGATAACTGTGTGTGTGAGCGACCCACAGATAGTTGTTTAGCATCTGGGTGTTTGTCATCGTGCAATTTATGTTTGTAAAACGTAATTACAACACAGGATAATGTTATCCTAAAGTGAGGGCAATGTTTATTTTTTTTTTAAATGAGCCCTCACGGGACGCCTGGCAGATGTGAAACATCGACATTATTTTGTAAATGTAATATTTATTTATTTATTTTTTGTTACACCAACAAGATGAACACTAAATTTAGACAATTTATAGGTAATGTTATTAACAACAAGCTTGCTGAGTGCCATCTCAATTATAGGTGCAAACCACTATGCTTTAAATTTAACAACACAAGAACTTAAAACTATTTGTGCGAAAAAAAAAAAAACAACACTAAATATAAGATAAAAACTCAGCGAATAGTGAGTACAATGAAATTTGAAGCATCAATGTTAACAAAAAAAGTAAATCCAAAAAAGTAATCAAGAGTTTAAAAAAAAAAGATCAAAAGAAGAAAAATAAACACAAACATAAATAAACATAAAAAGTTAAATCAATTAAGGGCCCCACGTACATATTTTTTAAATTTAAAATATTTGTTTGAAAAAATATCAATATCAAGCTCGTTATTACTGGTTCTCACAACATTTATAAGTTCATCAGTTTTTTTAGGGGACTCATTAACACTAGAATTATGTAATGTGTTGTATGTAGTCATTAATCTATTAAGAAGTGAATGTAGACCCAAGTTGGTTCGCGCTGCCTTAGTGCAAAATGGTTTATACTTTCTATATCTAGGAAGTCTTGAAGGTACAGAGATACTTAATTGCATTAGTAGCTTAGTAGAATCAATATAACCATGCCAACCAATATAAATATGCAGAAAAGAACAGATTGTGATAGGAACTAAATATTTCATAATGATAAAATAAAATATTACGATTTTTTTCCAGATAACGATGACTATTTATTGAATAAACATTTATTTTCATTAAATACAAAAATTTACGAATTTATTTCAAATCGTGACTACTTAATTCGTTTAATCAGTGACTTCGGTAATAGTTATATTCGATGTTGCCTCTGAGGACGGTATTACTGTGACAATTGGTCGATGGTAACTGAAGTATGTTACAAAAGTATTGGACATAACATGAATATATGAAATATGAAATGAATGACATCATTCATTATATTATAGTTTTTTATAGTTTTTTATCAGGATAAATGTACACAACAATCATCATCAATTTACTTCCATCTCCTAGTTTAACGTGTGAAGCACACATATCGCCAATAGACGTTTGGGACGCATTGCGGCTATAGATGTTTCACATCAAAAAAAGAAAAAGCTGTGGGGTATTATGTTTCTTTTTTTTAGCTGGATCAACCACTGTTGGTCTTAGGGACTTTGCAGATCCACTGGGCCGGGTCGGGGCCGGGGGATCCGCTGAGAGCGCCTAGCATGTACCTCGAGGAATAACTTAAACTCATGCCAAGGAGACATTATTTGATTTCTGGCGTACGAAAGAAAGCAGTCTCACATTTGTGCTCTGTAAATTCGCTTGGCTCGCAGCCTAGTTTCTTAAAACTTAGTAATTTCTGACTAGGTATCCCTTTGCTATATAAAACGTGCCATATTAACACGCTTTTATTTTTAACATAAGCAAATTGAGAAAATGTTATGGTTTATATGCGATTTGTTCAATACTGCTACAACGAATTGTTTTATGTCGAGAATCTCCTTAAAATGAGAACCACGTATTCCAGAACATTCCTTATATTTTAAACGGCTGCGTGATTGTTGTAGAAATTTCATTCATTCGAAGCCATTTTGAACTAAGTGCTACATTAGGAATTTCTTATACGTATGCTGAACAAAAACAATGAGAAAATTTAAGTAGAAAGCAATACTCGTATGTTTGGCTCGTCGATGCGTTTATTCGTTTACAGAATGCATATAACGATTATTAAATGCATTACCCATATAGAAAAGAATTTCACAACGTTTCATATTTTCGTTAAGATGTAATTTCGATGATCGTTAAGAATATTAAATTTCGGTGGTTTATGCTAAAGGTAGCATGAAAAAAATGTATTGAAAACATGTTTTAGAGTCCATGGAGCACTTCATACTTACGTCGATTTCATAGCAGAAACTATTTCAACAATTTATTCACAAAAAAAAAAACATAATTTCTTAAGCACTACTGTGTAACAATTTTAATTTAAATTAGACAAAAATAACTACCAATCTTTTTCTATGAATTTGGTATGATACGGACCATCTTTTAGATAGACGCTTCCAAACGGCGTATTGTGTCGTCACTAAAATATGTTTCGGGTAGATGTTTTTGTTACGATTATAAATGTAGGCGTGCTGAATGAGCAGACATTCTTGAAGTAAAGTTTGAAGTGTTGTTTATTTAACGAAAATTTGAATCGTATGAAAATATTACGATAGTATTAAAATAATATGATTGCGACTGATGACAAGAAAACCGATTCACTCCTTGTTCAAACCTTTAGTATAACCATTTAGCGAGGAAATGCAGTTAGCGTTCTTGGCACAATGCTGATGGTTAGTGAATAAATTCGCTTGGACAAATGAACTCGGCGGCTTAGACACGCGCAGTGTCAAATGTCATAATAGTACCGTTGGAAGGTACGTTAAAAAACATCACTGGAGGAACGACAAAATTAAATACTTCTAATTCAGGGTAGGCTTATTATTAGGCTTGACTTACATCAGTCAAGCCTAGTAATGGGGTCAAGTCAAGTAAGTCATATAGATTGGCCTACTATTGGACCTACTTCACGAAAGGGGTGAGGAAAACAGTCAATTCTGGTTGGAGGTGTTTGTGTCTATTGCCTAGTAAATAGTCATATTTTAAAACCGTCCGCAGGGTCAGTGCTTACTTTATTGCGAATTTAAGTTGTTCAAAGTAATTGTATTTGGTTGTGTAATAAATTTACATCCACATTAATTGTTAGCGTACTATAACATTCAATAACAAGAAAAATGAAAGTGTCTAATCATTTATTTTGGTTTATGGAAAAATTGTAACTAGGTATAGTATTGTAATAAATATATTCATACCGCATTAATTAAAATAACGATTTCCTAATTTCTTTCTTGTATGGTCTACATTCGTATCTATACTTTATCTTTAACTCAGGATCGTCTATATATTGTTATGATGTACTAACGAGCATGCGTTCGGAAAGGTATGATATTATTTCGACAGTAACAAGA